TTTTGATCGCTCGTACGTAAACTGAGTTGGGGCCGACGGACTCCCAGAAGAGACGTGATTGTTAATCTTAGTATTCTTGGATCTGATCAATAATTCCATAATTGCCACTGTGATGCAATCCAAAACTGGTACCATAATAAATTCTCAGCGTTTGCATCATAAAATAGAGCAGCGCCTGATCTGATGTGTTATTGATGATAACTAAACGCACGCATAAAGTGACCCCACCCCACCCTACCCTACCCCACACTCTAAACTAGTCATAGGCACCCTAAAACCCAGGATCACCTCTGAATTATGAACAACTTYTATTATATGAAATGTGTTTCCAGTAAAGCCTCATTCGCCGAGCGGTTAAGATCTCGCGAGAACCCAACTGAGGCAGATTTTTTAATCTGCTTATACACTCGATGTAGCATACACTTAACATATATAATTTTTATTATTTTCACACATACATACTTTTAATACGAAAAATGGGTGATGCTTTCGATTTGACTAAATAAAGACTTAARACTTGTTACAGCGATACCTGCAAAGTAATACGTGCGCACATTTTGCTTTTATTTATGAAATGACATTAAGGACGTTCATGGGCATTGTTTCTACGCATTTTCATGGGCATCCTTTCTATGCATGAATTTAGTGCGGCGCGCGCTCATCGTGAGGACGTCATTCCAATGTTTGATAAGCAAAATCTCAAAAAAAAAACGTTTTTCATCTTTTATAGCTCTAAAACGAAGTTAGGCACCCTAGGAAAAATGAAAAAATCTGACAATGGGTTCAAATCGAAATTGCATATTTTGTGTATAATTGGAATATGATCGTAACGTAACGGGAAGGTTTCAAGTCCGCACTTATAGCACAATAACATTTTATATTTCTAATTTTTAACACAAATTTCAAATACAAACTTGTTATTTGGTTATTTTTTAGTCTTCTGTGAAAAATGTGGACGATCAATTATTTTTTTCAGTAAATATGACTTATTTTTGACAGCTTTCCACGTTTACGTTTGCGCTTTTTCACCGTAAAAAGGGTGAACGTCCACGTATTCTGACGAGTAAACGAAGTTGGGGACCCCCATTTTCTATTTGCTTATTTTACTTCTAGTATAAAATGTTCTTTCATCATGCAAAATCTAAAAAAAATGACAATGGGATCTTTTGCACATGAACGTCCTTACGTCTAAGCATTGATTATTTTTAGTCAATGAAATAAAGGTGTGATTAGTGACTAACAGTTAAATTAAAACAAAAGAATACAATATAGAATTGCTATTGCTAT